GTTAATAATAGGCCTATTTGGATGGGATCTCCCTCCTTTCTGTGAGACGGGTAGTTTATTTTGCTATCCGTATTTTAATCGTATATTTAACGTTAGGTAATTTTTCACCCCTCTTCAGGAATAACTGCAGGCGAGAATAAACTTTTTTTTCATTTAAATTTGGTTCTAGAATATTAGTTCAAGTCTATTTTTATTTATATTTCTACAAATATATTCCCCACCTCTCCTCGTAATGTTGTTTTAGTACATATGAAATAAACTAGGAGTTGGCGGATTCGCTGTCTTCTAGCAGTCGCGTCTCTGAAATCAAATCCTCCTCAGTGCTGAAGCTGAACACGGCAAGAACACTGTTTAAATATGTTTTATATGTACAGTTGCCAGTAACATTAAGGTTAATAAAGTAGTTGATTGCTTTGTTGGCATTTTTAATTGTGAAATTGCGTTGTGGAACGTTATCTCTTCAGCGCATTAGCATTATCGTAGATCTGAGTAATATCAGGCCTGTTTAGACGGGCTCTCCTTCTTCTTGTGAGGCGCGGTATAGTTTAGTCCTGAGTGTATATGTAACGTTAGGTCATTTTTGACCCCTCTTCAGGAATAACTGCAGGCGATATTATGCTATATTTTTCATTTAATTTTGGTTCTGGAATATTAGCTCGTCTATTTTTGTTTATATTTTGACAAATATATTCCTCACCTCTTGTAATGTTGTTTCAGATAATTTATATGAAATGAAAAAATACTAAGATACTGTGTGTGTGTGTGTGTGTGTGTGTGTTCTGTTGCAGCTTCACAGCTCATTCAAGTGCTCCAGTCTGCTTTTTGATTCTACATCATTCTTCAATATCCTACTTCATCTTTAGAAGTAAGATAGAGTTTTAAATTTGATTTAGCAAACTAGTCAAATACTGACAATGATCCACACTTCAGCTTTTAACGTGTAATAACCTACTTTTACATCCTACATTTAACAGTAATCTTTGGTTGTGGTATAGGCCTACTAATTTGTGTCTATTTTTCTTTACAAATATATTCCCCATCTCTTGTAATGTTATTTCAGATAATTTGTATGAAATTAAAAAATACTAAGATACTGTGTGTGTGTGTGTGTGTGTGTGTGTTCTGTTGCAGCTTCACAGCTCATTCAAGTGCTCCAGTCTGCTTTTTGATTCTACATCATTCTTCAATATCCTACTTCATCTTTAGAAGTAAGATAGAGTTTTAAATTTGATTTAGCAAACTAGTCAAATACTGACAATGATCCACACTTCAACTTTTAACGTGTAATCCTAAATGTGCAATGTCAAAATATTAATATCAATATTTAAGGTTAAATGTTTACAAACCTACTTTTACATCCTACATTTAACAGTAATCTTTGGTTGTGGTATAGGCCTACTAATTTGTGTCTATTTTTCTTTACAAATATATTCCCCATGAAAGGAAAAAATACTAAGATACTGTGTGTGTGTGTGTGTGTGTGTGTGTGTGTGTGAGTGCGGGATGCGGGAGAATAAAATGATTCGCGGGACTCCCGCAAAATAGAAATGATCTAAACATAGTGTCTAAAACATATAAATTGTTATTTATCTGTTGCACAAAAGCAAAAAGAACAACTAATGTTAACATTAAAATGATTGACATGCGTAAGCTAGGCATAGTTTCCATTTATAACACGTGTTTAAAGGGTTGCAATGTAGCCAATCACAGCACATACTCTGATTCATTGTGCATATATTTATTGTGTTATAATAACAAAGCTTTATGAGATCGCGATTAACTGAGATGTCAGTTTTTAGTGATAATAAAGGAAGCGCTGCTCGCATACGGCCATTTCCAAACCATGCACGCAGCAGCCCATGCTTGCTTTTCTGTTGTGAATGTTGATACTTAGCCTAAATAACAAATATTTTATCGGGAGTGTTTATGCTGGGATGTTGTGGAGCTTAGGAGATGATACAGAACCATTTCATGTAAATTTCTTCGATTGTACTGAAAAAAAATCTATATAGATTACTTTTATGCGGGCTTTTGCGGGCGGGACAAAACATGAATGTCGCGGGCGGGACCAGATGAGATATTTTTCTGCGGGAGCGGGACTGAAAAATCCATCCCGCGCAGGTCTCTAATTCAGGGCTGTAGAGGTCCTCTCTAGGTGCTGATCCACCATCTGGGCTGGATACGTACTGGATCCGGGTGA